GATGGTAATAGTTCAAAAAAAGGGGGGGTGCCCAGGATGAGATGGATTTTTAAGAATGTTTTGAACTTTCTCAAGGCATCGGGAGCTATAAAGCTCTTCCAAAGAGGGGAACCCATGATCCTCTGGGCAATGGCGTTGACCCTCTGGAGCGCTCTCCTATCTGCCACTGTGCAATTGGCAAACCATACACAGGTGCAGTAAGTTAAAATATTCTATATGGTGCAGCAGTAGGTGGTCACCAGCAGTTTTTCATTCAGTTGTTGTTTCAGGTAGTATCATTTCTGCTGGGCCCTTTAGACCAGGGCAGCAATGTTAGTGCCCCAGGTCAGCTTCTCTTTTAGGACAACACCCAGAAACTTAAAACTGGCCACTTGCTCCACTCGGTCTCCATTGATAAACAAGGGCTGGATGTCTGATCGCTTCCTTCTAAAGTTCACTATAAGCTCCTTGGTCGTATTGGTGTTAAGGACCAAGTTATTGTCTCCACACCACGAAAGGAACCGGTCCACCTCGCGTCGATAGGCAGATCCAGGAAAAAAGAAAATCAAGATCTTTGCGTTAACAATGTTTAAACTGCAAGTTTGGCACATGCTACCTGGCACATTCCCTCCCAAATACAAGGACTGGAATATTTTTCAAAAGGAAATGGTTCCTCCTTCTTCCTTTTGGTTTTGTGAAAGAAATCAAAAGTACTTTCCCAAATATTTCTTTTTTTTTTACTAAAAGACAACTGATCTTTGTTTTCCCTTGAAGACATTTCACTTCTCATCCAAGCAGCTTCTTCAATTCTGATTGAATGGTTCCTTCAGTCAGAACTGAAGAAGCTTCTTGGATGAGAAGTGAAAAGTCTTCAAGGAAAAAACAAAGAAAGTCCAGTTGCTTCTTGAAAAGAGTACCTTTGGGACAACCATGACCTGGATAACTGAGAATCTCCATAAGACATTTTGTTGTTTCTGGTTTTAATAGTGTTAGGATGATTTGGGATTTTCTAAAACATTGACATTCCTTGTCGCAAAACAAACCAACCAATCCCAAGAAAGTCCAAATGCTTTTTGGAAAAGCACGTTTAGGAAAACCATGACCTGGATGACTGAGAATCTCCAGAGACATTTAGACTCTGTCTACTTTGCATTAAATGCTTGGTTATTTCCAGATAAAGTGGTTTAATTACCAGAAGGAAATCCTTCCTCATTTGATTTCAGGGAAAAGAATCTCAAAAAGAATATTAAAACTCCCAACTTCTTGCCACGATGAATCACGCGATATTTTCTCAGAAAACTACATTGGATGTTTAAATAAGGATCACGCTGCAGACAAATATTGATTTTTACGGCATATTCCAGCATTTTACAGCTGGTGCAGCAATAACACCATAATTGGGTGCAATGATAACCCCAGACTCTGTATATGTTTCAGAAAGGCATGTTCAGCCAGGCAACAGATGGCTCGTATTTGGAAAGGAGAAATAAACATCGTTATAAATCAAACCATTCATATGGTACCAGATAATTTATACATTATTCATTCAGAACAATATGTTACCTCATATGTGAGAGATTGTTTTCATTAAGCTATGACACTGCAAAAGGAGCTTACTTTTAAGGAAGAGTTCCTTCTAAAGGATCAAAGTCCCTTTTATTTCAGTTCCCAAACATTGTGCCCTCTACCTAGTAAGTGATGGCGAACCTTTTCGACACAGAGTGCTCAAGGAGGAATGCGCATGCACGCACATACATGTGCATGCCAGTGCACTAGAAATCCAAAGAACAGCTTTCCAGTGCGCACATGGCTGTTTTGGGGGCCATTTTACAGGACATTTTGGGACTGTTTTCAGGCTGTCGTTTCTGGGCCATTTTCAGACTCTTTTTTGGCTCAAAAAATGGCCTATAAAACAGCCTGAAAAGGACCCGAAAAATGACTTGTTTTTTAAAGCAGAAAAGCAGCTGGTGATGGCACGCATGCCACAGGTTCACCATCATGGACCTAGTAGGTACCGTACTTAGCAGGATACAGAAAAAGATTATTATAGGTAGCTTTCAACTTACTACCACAATGGAGCCCAAAATTTCTTGTTACTAAGCGAGAGCGTTGTTAAGTGAGTTTTCTCCCATTTTACGACCTTTCCTGACTTAGTTGCTGGTTCCCTTAGTTGCTAAGTGAACCACGGCAGTCGTCAGGCTAATAACACGGTTGTTAAGTGAATCTGACTTCCCCATTGACTTTGCTTGTTGGAAGTGTGCAAAAGGGATCACATGACCCCCGGGACACGAAGATGAAGCAGCTGCCAAGCGTCTGAATTTTGATCACGTGACCACGGGGATGCGGCAACGACCGTAAATGTGACAAAGGGTCCTAAGTCACTTTTTTTACAGTGCCATTGTAACTTCAAACGGTCAGTAAATGAACTGTTATAAGTCAAGAAGTATTTGTAACTCAAATGTACATAAAAATCTGTTTTAAAACAAAGGGCAAACAAAGAATAGAGTAAAATAGAATAGAATAGAGTAGAATAGAGTAGAATAGAATAGAGTAGAGTAAAGTAGTAGAGTAGAAGAGTAGAATAGAGTAGAATAACAGAGTTGGAAGGGAACTTGGAGGTCCATCAAGGAAGGTTTTCAATAATAGACTGGACAACCATTTGTCTGGAATAAGGTTTCCTGCTTGAGCAGGGGCGGGTGGGGGGGAATGGGTGTTGTGGACTAGAAGATCCCCCAGGTCCTTTCCAAACCAGTTATTCTATGTTACGATAAGCTTACTATAATCAATGACAGATACAAAGAAACGAACGGCTAATAAAAGACAGGGCTATAAACTTGGGATACAACTTAAGAGCAGGGTTTCCCGAACTGTGAAAATCCCAGCTGGCTGGACTTCAGCTCCCAGAATTCTCAGCAAAGGCCACCCTGAGCGAGAAACTCCAAAAGTTGAAGTCCGCATTGGTGGAAGTCCTCCCAGTTCGGAAACAGTGTCTTGGAGCGTCCTATAAAACATTCAATATTGCAGTTTAGTTCCCCCACCCCCTCCCCCGGATACTGACCTTGACAGGTTTAGGATGCCTTCTTCTGTGAGAGGATGTTGTGGTATAGCTTGTTGGAAGTCAAACGTCAGAACCCTGAGGGGATCTGAGGTGGATCTACAAGGGTATTCCCAAAGCGGATGGGGCTCGGCTTCCCGCGATTCTCGGAAGTCTAAGGAATTCTAAAGGACATGGCAAGGAAAACTGGGTCAGCGCCACAGAATTTAGAAAGAAGAACTCCTTTGAAATTGCACAGTATTGAGGGAGTAGACCAATAGGTGGCTTACTAAGGCGAACGATTAATGACTCAAGATTGCGAAATGTTTTTTATAAAACAGAAAGAATGAGAATAGTTTCAGATTCTAAAGTTTTTGTTTCAGATTCTGAATTTATGGATTGGTTACGGTAAACCCCAAATCACTCTTAAAAAGCCACGAAGGGAACCATTCTAGTTTGGACAATGTGAGACTTCAAGTGGCCTGACCACCATTATTGAATGTTCTACAACCTTGCAATAGGGATGTGGTGGCTCAGATGCTGAGCTTGTCGATCAGAAAGGTCGGCAGTTCTGCGGTTTGAATCCCTAGCGCCGTGTAATGGAGTGAGCTCCCATTAGCACACACACACACCCAGAGTCAGGAACGACTAGCACATATGTATGAGGGGAACCTTTACCTTTATCTTTACTAGTTTGCAATCATTTTGAAATGATAGCACATAAAACAACAGATACATAATACTTAAAATGTAGATCTAGCCATTAAAAGTGGTCCTTCCCAACCTATAAAATATATGCAAAATACCAGCCCTATTCAAAAGCAAAAAGGCTACAGTATTTGTAAGTTTAGTTTCCATCTCTCTTGCATCAGCCCATGCTGGCTGGGGAATTCTAAGAGTTGAAATCCACAGATTTTGAAGTTTTCAAGGTTGAGAAACCCAGTACCCATAGTAATCAGTCAGATGTCCACCAGAACAGGAAAGCAAGAGCCTCTTCCTGGGTCGATGTAAAATGGCTAAGCAGCTTTTTTTGGCTACTACATGGATAGGAGACCACTAAGAGATCCCACACCTCTAGGCTGGACAGGAAAGTCAAAGAACATGCAAGAAAACAAGAAGAACGGTTGCAGGAATTGGGAGTGGCTAGACTGGTGAAAGGAAGGACTAGGGGTGACATGATAGCAATGGGTTGCCACAAAGGAGAGGAGGTCAACCTATTCTCCAAAGCACCAAAAGGTAAGAGAAGAAGCCATGGATGGAAACTAAACGAAGAGAGAAATAAGGTGAAGGTTCCCCTTGCACATATGTGCTAGTCGTTCCTAACTCTAGGGGGCGGTGCTCATCTCCGTTTCAAATCCAGCGCTGTCCAAAGATGCCTCCATGGTCATGTGGCTGGCATGACTAAACGCCGAAGGCACACGGAAGCCGTTTGCAGCTTGAGAAAATCTTGCAACCCCCTCCCCCCAGTTCAAGAGCTGAAGGCTTTCAAAAGATGCAGACTGTTTTCCCAAAAATAAAATGCTTCATCTGGATTGGTGGACAATGGACACTGGGCGGCCTGGGAAAAGGAAAAAGGGGTTTTTGTCATAATGTGCTTGCGACAAAACCTCAAAACTGGCTTTGCTTCTTCTGTGCCTGTATGGATCTGTCATTAAGTTTTACTCTTGGTAATAAAAATGTCCCAGGAGTTTCTTGTTCTCAGGGCAGGGCAAGAAGCAATGGGTGGAAACGAATGAAGGAGAGAAGCAACCTAGAACTAAGGAGAAATTTCCTGAAAGTGAGAACATTTAACCAGTGGAACAACTTGCCTCCAGAACTTATGAATGCTCCAACACTGAAGGTTTTAAGAAGAGATTGGATAACCATTTGTCTGAAGTGGTATAGGGTTTCCTGCCTTGGCAAGGGGTTGGACTAGAAGACCTCCAAGGTCTCTTCTCTTCTCTTTGATTTTCTATTCTATTATTATTCTATTCTTTCTGTTCTCTATTCTATTCTATTATTCTATTCTTTCTGTTCTCTATTCTATTCTCTATTCTATTTTATTCTATTCTATACTATTTTCTATTCTATTCTGTTCTGCTCTATTCTATTGCTCTTCTTATTCTTTTGCTCTTCTTATTCTACTGTCTCTATTCTTATTCTTTCTCAATTCTTATTCTATTCTACTTTATTCTTTTGCGGTGCATGCCAACAGGGCAGGTTTACATTACCTGCTGCTCCTCTAAAGTCAGGAAGACAAAAATAACCCATCATGTCTGGGTTGACACATTGCGTCAGTCCTCAGGGATCCTGTGGTTTGTTTCATTTTGGTTGAATGCAACCTTAACAAAAACATACAACCCAGGTTTGACCTAATGTGCAACCCAAGTGAACCTGTGGCATATGCACAGGTCCAAAGCAGAGGGCATGACGAGAAAACCGGGAGAGGATTTGTCTTCCTTAATTGGGGAAGGGCTCCGTGTTTGTGCCCTTTTCACAGCAGATTTTGCTGCAACCTCACAGCTGCTAATGTGACTCATTAAAGCCATCATCCCAGACATTTCTAAGTAGTACTTTCCAATAACTACACATTTTTGCAATTAAGTTAATTAGCCCTACGCTCTCCAACAATGAGGGTTGAGGACCTGCAAACCCCTTATTATCGCGAAAAGGATGTGGCACAAAGGTCCTCGTGGGAGGAACTCGGTATTTTAAGCAACATCGTTGAACTTTCGTTTCTCGGCTTAGATTTGGCTGCGGTGAAGATTTTGATCACCACGACTGTTTTGTATTGTTTCCTTAGAATTGTTACACAATTGCCCTACTGCAGTTTTGTAATTATTTTTAATGGATTACCATATTTTTCAGAGTATAAGACGCACCAAGATTTTGGGGAGGCACATTTTTTTAAAAATAGTTTTTGCACTCTGCAGACCTCCCAAAAACGGCCCATTTTTCACAAAAATGGGCCCCTTTTTTGCCAAAAAAAAAAAGGGGGGGCATGCATAGCCTTTAGGAGGTTTATAGATT